AAAAAAAAAAAAAAAAAAAAAAAAAAAAAAACCTGAAACAACGTTAAGGATCGTTCCTTAAAAAATGATGAATCCCCAGGCCAAAAAATTAGGAATCCCTAAAATTAAAAAAAATATATTGCCAGGTTCTTTAAAATTCTGAGGAACAAAGCGTACTACCGTCTTCACCCGAATAGAACGCCCGGTCATTATCGCCCTATTTGGGCAACTTCCAGTCTAGATGCAGCCATAATGACCGGGCGTTCTATTCGGGTGATTCGGGGTGAAGACGGGTGTGGAGAGGGCATCCTCTGAATCTGAATCGTGGTGGCACCCTATTGGCTGACAGCCTGATGCATTACTTCTTTCTTTCTTTCTTTTCTTTTCTTCTTCTTCTTCTTCTTTTTTTTTTTTTTTTTTTTTTTTTTAATGACAGCTTTCTCTAAGGACTGCTCCTAGACAATGTTTCTTTAGTCTAACAGCGACGGCCAAAATCCTAAAAATCAGCTCCGGTCTGGCCCTCCTTTTTTTGGCACTCGTAAGGAGTGTCTAACCATACCCATGGTCCAGAAATGGTCCAGAAATGGTCCAGAGATGGTCCAGAAAATGGTCCAGAAAATGGTCCACAAAAAAAAAACAAAAAAACAAAAAAAAAACACGAAGCTCGTCTGCTATTCCAATTTCGCCCGCTTCCCACCTGTGAGGGCAAAGAAATTCCGCTTCCCACCCGACAACTCTTCCTCCATAGATAGCCTTCTTCCCACATCCCCCCCCCCCCTTCCAAGCCCCCGTCTATGAAAGACCTGTTTTTTTTACTTTTTTGCAAGAATAAAATGAGCAAGAGCAAAATGACAAGACACAAATCCAAATCGTTCCAACATGACATGAAAATCCTGATATTCGTGCGCTCAGCCCTGTACAGAAACTACAATGCCATAGTGCCATAGTGCCATAGTGACATAGTGACATAGTGACATAGTGACAAAGTGACATAGTCCACTTGGCTGCGGGCGAAAGCTCAAGATCTGCAATAGACCAGTCCGCGAGTCCCGGGGCCGGCCGTCGCCGGCGGCCTTGGCATGGTAACTGAAGGTCTGTGAAATTAAGAGCTGAGCAGTGTGCGCAAGACGAACGACAAACAAGGACAAGAGCAAAACACAACAACAAGGACGACTCTGGACGATTTAAAAAAAAAAGGACGATATTAAAAAAAAAAAGAAAAAAAAAGGAAGGACGATATTAAAAAAAAAAAACAAAAAAAAAAACGGCAACTGGGGGTCCTCAGCTTTGGTTTCTTTCTTCTCAAATTTAACGAGTTGTGCTTGTCTTTAGGGCAGTTATACAACGCCCTGCGGTGTGAAATGTACATAAGCTTCAATCCTGCATTACCGGTCATTTACTTGACGTTCAGGGTTATGTATATAACCGGAATTCTGCAGTCAGTACATCGGCGTCGTCGTCCGATTAGAACCAGGGGATATTATATACCAATGGTTGAATGGTAGACAATTTTCCGGTCAGATTCAGATTGCTATGTATAGTCAGTGTATGTACATGTGTATAATGTCACAGAGAACTATATATACAAAAATAAAAAAGGAGGATGATCGTTTTTGATTCTCACCCGATTAGAACACCTGGTCATTACCGCTGTATCTGGACTGAAAGTTGCCCCAAATACACAGTCCTAATAATGACCGGGACTCCATTCAGCTGAAGACAGCTATCGTTATAGACTATAAGGAAAAAAAACGATGTTCTATTCGGGAGAATAGACCAGCGCAAAAAAAAAAAAAAAAAAGAACAGACCAGCGCAGCTGCATCCACGTCAGCCGGCGTCACACTGCCTAATCTATATGTCTGTCCTCACCTCTTTTTTTCTTCTTTTTTTTTTTCCCTTTTTTCCCTTTTTTCCAAGCTGACGGGGGTTGTGTTACGTGAATTTACAGCTCTTGCTGTGATTATTATGGTTCCTCACGTGCTCCGATGTTTCTGCATCTGATGTATGAGTGTGAACTTGCGTGTCTTCTTTGCTGCTGTTCAGTTCCCCCTTTTTCTTTTTTTTTCCCCATGTGAATTATGATTCTTATTTCTCTTGGCCTTCCACCCGGGGTAAGGTCCCACTAGCAAAGACAGGATTGGAATAAGCTCCTGAATCTGGATACGTTTTCGGCAGAGAAGCAGAAAAACAGTTCAATCTCAAATTTCTGCACCCTTTGCACAAACCCCGTCCAGATTCAGGAGAGTTCAGTCCAATACTGTTTGCTAGCGGGACCTCGCTCCCGGCGTTCATCCACGTCTGTTTATCCAATCCACTGGCTTATAGATCCTCCTGCTCCTCCTTTTTTTTTCTTTTCTTTTTTTTTTCTTTTTTTTTTTTTGGAAGACCAGTCGCATAAAATATGTAGACGGTCAGGGTGGGACGGAGAAAAAGGGCAAAAAAAAGGACGGGACAATGATGACTAAACTCTTAGACGACGGGGGGGGGAGGGGTAGTATTCTTAACTCCCTTTTACTACGTATCAATACTAATACGGGAACACGATTCAAACCAATGCTTTTTTAAATACGGTAATATCGGAAAGCAGTGGTGGTCCCAGCGGACAGTCACACGTGGACATTCCTGTATCATGTATCTCACGGCAGTTGACGGCCAGATTCATTTGCAACGGTCCCCTCAGGAGTATGCCGGTCATCAGCTAGCCGAACAGAATTGTCAATAGGCCACCGATAGGAGTTGGATGGAAAAAACAGGCCACAACAACAACAACAACAGCAAACAATAATAATAATTAAAAAAAAAAAAAAAAAAAAAAAAAAAATAAAAAAAAAAAAAAAAAAAAAAAAAGAGACAGGCCAGTGGCCACAGATTTATTGAAGGCATAAGGAGAAGGAAGGAAAATAGGTAAAGAACACAGGTACTGAGAGGGGGAAAACATACCCTCTGTCCGTGAATGAACATTCAGAAGTATGACCAATAAAGAGGAAGACAACTGAAAGAGCCACAGGCAAAAAAAAAGAAAAAAAAAAAAAGAAAGAGGAAAATCATTAAAGAAAAGAGGTACTGAACATTCCGATTTATTTTTCTTTTTATTTTTTTCATTCCCTTCAGAAGTATGGCCAATAACGAGGACTGTCACGACAATGAAAGAGCAACAGTAAGATAATGCACGTAGACTTTAAGGAGAAAGAAGAGGAAATGAGATAGATGATCGGAGTAATAGGAAGCTACTGTAGAGGAGAAGATAGGGGAGAGAGTAGAAGGGGATAAGCCTGAGACGGGTGTCACAGCAAAAGGACGAACGAGGGAAGGGGTTGGGAAAAAAAAACAGGGTGACCGAATGTACAGTGTTGATATATTAACAGTGTGGCTACGGGTGGGGGAAACAGGGTGAAGGAAGGCTAGGAAACGATGATTTGAGGGGACAAAAAAAAAAAAAAAAAAAAAAAAAAAAAAAAAAGGGTGACCGAATGTACAGTATTGATATATTAACAGGATGTGGACTCCCGAGTATACTCCCACTAGGACCTCGAAATCGCAAAATACCCAAGAGCCTAGCTCAGTGGGTACACCCATCATGAACTGTTGAAATACAGACCAGGTCCTGTGTTCGAATCCAGATGATGGAACTTGAGGAGTAAAACCAACTACTAATGAATTGCTTGGGGCCGGTCAGCTCAATGATAATATCTCAAGGCCGTCGTTCTTTAAAGAAAAATAAAAATAAAAAATCAAATTCGCAAAATTGCAAAATGAGTGGCCAGATCTAGTCCTTCCTTTCCTTCACAAGGACTCTATCTGGCCCGCTCATTTTGCGATTTTGCGATTTTGCGATTTTGCGATTTTGCGATTTTGAGGGCTTAGTGAGAGTATGCTCGTACACTATTTTTACATGGGGGCTTGAGGCTTGAACACTCTGCTAAATTAAATCTGGTTCCAGACCCCAAGCCCGGCAAAAGCCCGGCTAGATTCCAGCAGGCTGGAGGAGAGCCTGCTGGAGAGCAACCCCTACCGTCTTCCCCCAACATAACGCACCCTAAAAATGAATGTATACAAGCTATATTTCCGGCCAGATACGGCCAAAATGAGGGCGCTTTCTGATCCGCCACTTGTTGGCAAAAATGTCTGCCTTCTCCTTCTTTTTTTTTTTTTTTTTTTTTTTTTTTTGAAAGCCTTCGCCTTCATTCAATGGCAGTGACACGGGCCGTGGTCCCATTAGCAAAGAGCGTCGGATTGAATGCCTGAATCTGGATGAGTTTGAGGACAGGAGCAGGAAATCGAGATCGAACTGCTTCTCTGTATCTCTGCATAAAACATAGCCAGATTCAGGATTTCTATCCTATCCCCTTTCAAATTGCTGGTGGGACCACGGCCCCGGTGAAGAGAATTAGACTTTTTAACTTTATCAGGAGGGGAAAAGAAAAAAAGGTGTCCTGCAAATTGTTTGAAGGGAATAATAATTAAGAAAATCATAATCATTAATTTGTTTGAACTTTTTTTTTTTTTTTTTTTTTTTCCCGAAGAATCAAATTTTTATTACCAGGGCCCAGTGCCCAAGGCCAAGCACATCAGCACAGAATGACCATCAAGGACAGCCAGGTTGTCCCACCCCACCGGGAGTTGGGAGCCCCCTCCCTGTAAACACTTTCTTCACACCTTTGTTTAAATCCTGCACCTGCCCAGACTACCAGAGGCAGCAGATGCCACCCAGAAAACCCTGTTGCAAGAACCTACTCAGGGCACAGGAAGGCACCAAATGCAAAAGAAGAAGACACTCTATCTACTGTGACCAACAACGGGTGAGCCGCCCAATGTTCTTGAAACCAAGCAATACCCTTAGCCGGCCACGAAACAGAAGAAACTTTGGGTCGCCAATCTATCTGTATCGCTAATCTAAGAGCCTGCTTAGCACGAAGTTGCAATTCAACCAGCGTACTTCGGTTACCATGCCAAATAGCTTCATTCCGCGCTTTCCAAATGGTCCATAATAAAGCGCCCCGCGTGGCCTCAAACACATATCACAAGGATGGAGAAACGTCAGCAATAAGAGAACCCAGAAGTATGCCATCGGCCACCCAGAGCCGAGGCGCAACAAGGGGGCCAACTTCTCTCCACCAGGTCCAGAAAGCGTCTATCAGTGGGCAAGTTACCCAAAGGTGGGTCAAATCTTCTACCCGATATCCACAGGCGCAAATCTTGCAAAACGGGTCTCCCCGGGCCAACCTTCGACAAACCCACGCCTCTGTAGGAACTGCAACATACATGGTAAGCCACAAAATGCCCGCATGCCTTGGAACAGGAAGGGTCAGCAGCAGCAACCAGAAATGACTAAGTCTGTGAAGAAAATCAGAGTACTGAACTGCTTGCAATCGGCCCAATGCCGTCCAATGCTTACATATGCACGCTGGTATATCCTCCTTCGGCAACATAAGATTATAGGCAAGCTTAACTGAAAAGTCAAGCACAGAACAGAGACGGCGAGGTCTGACAGGGTCACGCCAGTACCAATCCCGCGGGTCGAACCGGAGCCGAGCAGAGGGGGTGGAAACAGCAAACGGAAGAAACTCTTTCGGGCTGTTGCCACCCTGTTGCAACACACAAACAGGCACCAAATCTTCAAGGCGAGTCACCACAGGAACAACGGACGATTCAACCAGGGGCGATCCCAAGCCTGTGTATCCATCTTTGATTTCCCACTGCGACCGCTCAGCTAATGCGTTCGGACCCAAGCGGTCCAAATGCCATAGGTGACAAGGGCGATCCTGATGCGCTGAACGAAACCGCATACCTGGCAACACACCTCTCTGAGCAATGCATTCCACCAAGGCAGGAGGCACGGCTTCAATTATGCAATGTAAGTTCCTATCAACATGTCGAAGTCCCCGAAGGGGCACACGCAGCTGCTCCAGAGGCTTCCAGTTCCAAGATTGGAAGTCCCAAAGATCAGCGAGGAGAACCACGCCACGTTCAAACCAAGCCTGACCAAAAGCATGTAGCCCCACAAAAGAAAAAGGTAAACCATCATCCCTCACTATACAAGGGTTATCAAAAATAGGCTGAGCCAACAGTCTATCAAAGGAGAAAACGGGTTGCGTACCGGAGGGAAGCACCTTTCTCCACTCAACCAATATATTTTTCCAGGGGGACCACTGCAACCCTTTACGGCAAAAGAAAGGGGTCAAAAGAGCAAGTTGCACATCTGCCAAGTGATCCAAGCCAAAATCCTCAGCCAACAACCATGTCGCCAATCTGCGCCATGTGGCATCAGCAGGGGTCAGGAGGTAACGAACAGGCCACTTTGTGGACATTGCTTTAGTTTGGAGGAAAGGGGAGAGAAGCCCCAGCCATCCGTGGCGGCGCTTCTAAATCACCTTGTCCCATGCCACTTTGGGAAGTATGGGTTCCGACGTGGCACGTTGTTTCCACAAATATTCTGTGGCCAAGGCTTTTAACTGGGCCGCAACTTGCGTGGATAGCGGCGAAATTGCATGCATATACCACAGTTTCGAAAAAACTGCATTGTTGAGTACAAAGAGGCGCGCATACAGGGAAACAGAACGCACGCAACCCCATTTCCTCAGTGTATCAAACACCCCAGTAGCAAAAGCATCAGCACACAGCGCCTGTCCATGCTGGAATGAAACATATTGACCCAACAGTCGTTCCGGCACTTCCACTTGAGCCACTTGCAAACCCCAGTCAAGCAGTTGAGGAGGCATTGCTTGGCCAGGTGGAAGAATTAGCACCGATTTTGACCAGTTCACTTTGGCCTCAGCAAGCTGAGCAAACCACTGAAGATTCTGTCTAAAGGCCTCCCACGAGCGCAGTTCCAGGGCCACGAAAAGAGATGTGTCGTCCGCAAAAGCCTGCGATTTGGCAGGCTCACCATCAGGCAACACCAAACCCCGGACCTTCTCATCACCCCGAAGCATCGAATGAAAGACCTCTTTATACAGAATATACAAGTAGGGAGCCAACGGACAACCCTGACGCACAGATCTGGAAAGAGGAAACGCCTCTGAAAGTCGTCCATTGACCAAAACTTGCGAGGTCGCTCCAACAAAAAGTGATTTAACAGCATTACAATATGCCGGCCCAAATTTGATGTGGCGCAAGATTTGCTGTAAGAAGGGCCAATTAACCCGATCATAAGCCTTCTCAAAATCCAATAGCAAAACACCCACAGACAAATTGTATCTATTAATAAGCTCTATTCCCTGAACGACAGACATAACGGCATCCAGAATAAAGGCCCTTAACAAATCCTGTCTGATCTAGATGGACCTGGATTCTGTTCGCTAGTTCTTTGGACACCACTTTATAAATGGTCGGCGTGAGGGTAATGGGCCTGTAATTTCGTATAGACTCCTTATCGCCTTTTTTATGAATCAAAGAAATAATTCCAGAGACAACCGAAGAGGGCAAGGACTGGCCCTCACGAGCAGCATTCAACAACTGCAGAATAAGCGGTGCCAAGTATGCGGAGGGCGCCTTAAAGACAGCCACTGGTAAGCCATCCGCTCCCGGGGCTTTCCCCAGGGGGAGCTGGCGAATAGCAGTGTACACCTCAGAGATTCTAAACTCACTATCCAAAAGATCAGCCTGCTTCGGTGACAAAGAGCCTTTGACTTGGGCCCACACCTCTTCTTGTAAGAGCTCAGCGACTTGTTCCTGCGAATAGTCACGGTTTAACTCAGATGTATAATAGGTTCCATAAAACAATCGCGCATATTGAGCAATATCCTCCGTCGATCGCGCCCGCGGGGCCTGAGCATCAAAAGGATGAGCCATTGCCTTAATCAACGGTGCTTGCTTATACCATGGCACTTTTGCAAAAAGAGAAGCCGTCATACGGTCTCCATCACTCAAGTACCGCAACAACGGGCCAAGTGATCTCTTATGAAGCGCATGATCAAGATTCCGGACCACTGCCTCCTCCGAAGAATGAAGCAGATCATGAAGAGAGAAAGCGACAGGGTTATCGAAATCACAGGAATAGCTATGCAACAGGTCCCTAAGCCAACTTTGACGGCTTTCGACCATCTCACAATGTAACTCTTTTGCCCATTGTGCCAGCGAGGCCATGAAAAAAACAATACGCTGCTGAACTGAAATAGCCTCCAGATTCCAAGAGTTCCATGTAGCTCAGGCGTCTGCTAAGCGGGGCAAAAAATCAGGATGTGAAACCACCGCTTGTGGGATCCGCATCACATCTTTATACCTCAAAACACCAGAACCCCATCTCAACTTGATCGACACCGGGAAGTGGTCGGACCCAGGAAATTTAAGGATTTTAACATCTTGCACAGAATCCAACAAAACCTCATGCAGCAGGAAACAATCAAGCCGCGAGCGGAGAATTTGCCAATTATCCGCAAGCACAAATCTAGTCCAGGTATAACCCAGATCAACAGGGTATAGAGTTCGAAAAACGTCTACCCACCCAAAAAACAAAGAAATGTTTCTCAAAGAAATTGAGGCACCAACAGCAGGGTCATCTGACACCACATCCAAACCCGGGGTCAAGGCCGTGTTCCAATCGCCACCCAAGATAAGGTAATCCACACGCAAGATAAGGTAATCTACACGCGGAACCGTGGAAGGCAAAAATCTGAATAAAGATCTTCGCACCTGCACATCAGAAGGTGCATAAACATTGTACACAACCCAAACATGGCCATCCAATTCAAAAGCTACCCATTGCCAACGTCCTTCATGAATCATAATCCCAAAAAGCATCCACAAACGTCCCGGGAAAAGTCCGGGAAAAAAGAATCGCTGTACCACCTTTAGTTCCTTTGGCAGGGGCCCAGAATTGTGGCCCTTGCCACCATCCCAGTTGCAATTGCACTTGCTGTTGTGCCAACTTTGTCTCCTGGAGGAGCACTATATCTGCCCCCGAATTTCTTGCCAAGGTTTTAACGAAGGATCTTTTATGAGCAACTCTTCGGGAACCCAGTCCACGAACATTCCATGTCAACACCAACATAGTATCCATCGAGACCCGAAAAGGCAACAAAGCAAACAGCAAAAAGCTCCAGAGAGAACGAGAAACACTTCATCCCCACGGCCCTTCCCACAGCAAACCCCATTGCTGCAAATAACACAGCGTCACCTTACTCCTTGCTGCAAATTGCGCAGCCCCACCTTACCCAACAGGCACCCAACCCAACTCACAACGGGACCAGCACATCCAACCACGGTTGTGTAGAAAGTCCCGCGAAAGCAGTCGAAAAAAGTCCCAGGTCAGGCGGGAATTGCACACTCAACTCATGCAATATCTCCACCGACCAAATGCCTTGAAGCCTCACAGTACGGGCAATGGCTCCATCCGGTGTAGACAGCAATGCCAGAGGTATCCACCTCATGTTTGGCAACGGAACAGACACCTGACCACACGCCTGAGCCTCATAGAGAACGAAAACCACCGAGCGCTCTACGCCATCCGCCAGGGTTTTTGGCAACTTTATCCAAGGAATTTTAGGCCAATGCCGCAGACGATAAGAAGATCCCATCCACTTCAGAACCTCCTGATCTACCTGTTGGATGACCGGATCATGTTTGAAGGCAACAAAAGGGATGGCCAGTCGGTCCTCGCTTTGAAATAACGTAAGCAACTTCAAGTCTGAGTCTGTCCAGGAAAGTACCAACGGAAAAACAACAAAAGGATCTGAGACAGCCGCATCCACGTCCTTCAGTCGATGACCAACTTGAGCCAGCTGCGTCACGCTAGCAGATGGCTTAGACGCCCCCTGCACAGGGGGCGTTCTCTGCATTGCACCGTCCCGACCATATGGGCAAGAACGATCCTGTCGCTCCACCCTAGTAACATCAAGTCGTCGGACAGGCCCTTTTTCAATCACCTGAGTTTGAGAAGCTGCTGAACGAGCAAGTCGCTCAACAGCCTGCATCTCCACCTCGGGCAAAGCAGCTTTAGACACCTCGCCCCGCTCAGTGACGTCCATCGCTGCCTCGGGGTGGCCAACGTCAGTCGCTCCGGTAGTATCACCTCTGGATGGA